AGCAATTGGAAAGAAGAAGCCTGAAAAAATCAGGGCTTCAACGGGATTCGAACCCGTGAGCTCCGCGATACCAGTGCGATGCTGATGTTAAGTTTAAAAGCCCTGATTTTTTCAGGCTTCTTCTTTCCAATTGCTTAAATTGGAAAATTAACTGCGATGATCATTCTTCACTTTCAGTTTTTTTACTGTTGCTGATTGGTTGCTTTTACTTTTATTTCTTCAACAACATTTGGTGGTGTCTGGGACTAAGTTCTATGGAAAAAGGTTTTTTCACTGACTCTTGATATTTTTCAACAGACGTTTCAGCTAATGCTTAAGCCTTCATCAGTGATATGAAAGCGAAGTTCGTTGTCATACCCTATTTAAAGTAAAATAACGTGAAGCTTGTGCGTGTGACCATGTAATTCATGCTCACGCGATGCCTTTGTAGGGTTCTGGAAGTACGAGTGATCGTTCCCAGCAGTCGGGTCCAAAGTAGAGTGCCAGGCTTCGAGGAAAAGTTGCTCGTGGTAATTAGCTTCGAAACCAATGACCTTGACATTTTCAAAGTTCATGTTAAGGTTGAAATGGTGGACATGGCTTGCACCTTTGGAGTTTTGGTCAACACCTGCCAATGCCATTTTGTGCTCCGCAATTCAGGTCTTTCATGATCTTTCTGTTTGGCCATAGTACACAAAATTACACTGTGTGCAATTGATTTTGTACACTATGCCTGATTTCTGGTGGTCAGAACCATCTTGCTCTTTGGGGTGCAGAAAAAGGTTATTGATGGTTAGCTGCACTGTAGTAACTCGACAACAGCATCTTTTTATGGTCTTCCAAAAATTCACAAACCTGGAAGGCCACTGCACCCTATCACAAGCAGTATCGGTAGTCTGACGTATGCAGTGTCCAAATATTTGGTTTCAGTCCCTACATGTAGGTGGACATCAGTTTCGCCAAGGCCATGATTCTTGAAGTAATGGTGCATGCAGCTAATTGTGGTATTTGCACCCATCCCAACATCAACTGCTTCATCTATGAGGTAGTTAACTTGCTGAGGAATTGCCTTGCACATGACAGCAAAAATGCCACATTCTTGCAGGGTTTTAAAGTAAATTGGACCTGGCTGCATGGGGTTACACGGAATATGAACCTGTTGTGCAAAGTCAAAGGAATAATGCATGGTACCACTGAGAGAACAGGTATCGTGGCTTTCATTCAACTCGATTGTGTTCTCCACTGTTTCAAAAGTGTTTTTTGCCTTCTTGCAGACGTCTCAATACAGTTCCCTTTGAGTTTGTACACAATTCAAATGTTCCTGTACGTTCACTGAAATTGTAGGTATGGATTACATCAAGCGCAATTACTGCATTGGCAGCCGGTAAAATTAAGATTATTTAAATGACTACGAAAAGATGACACATTAGGTGCACTCTTAACAACTAATGGCAGCTGGTTCCAAATATGAAAAAGCAACGTTTCCAAGAGGTTATGTTTCATTTTTTCCCCCCTGGGGCTCAGCAGGTGATAGCATATAAACTGGCATTCTGTTATTCTGGCAGAGCCATTTCTCCAAAGAAGACATTTACACAGATAGCTCAAACAGTTTTATACATTACATTATATTAGCATAATTTCCAGAGGAGAATTCAAGAATTGGACATTCTGGCTGGTCAAAAAGCTCAGCAAATGATGTTATATTCACTTTGCTAGGTGGTGAATATGACGTTTCTCAGCTTGCTTACTAGACTGCATCACCTTGCCATCTAGGCAAGTAAAAGCGGTGGATACATGTAGTTGTCGGGTGGCGGGGGGGGGGGGGGGGGGGGGGACTTCCATATGATAAGGTTGGGGATGCTTGTCGGTAAATATGAATTAAACCCCTACAGGAGAGCAATCTGGATGTGGCTTAAGCTTTATTTGACCCCCAAAAGAAACCACTTGAAATGGAATAGGCTTGATTACCAGCTTGATAACCAGTTTGGGAAAGGAGCCTGCGCGAGTAGACCGGACTCAAGAGAGTGGCGGGAATTGAGCCTAAAAACACTTGTAAATATGTGTAATATATACCACTCCTCAATAGTCTACCTGAAACGAAACAGTGTCGTTCAAAAAGCATTAGTTTCCCGCCATCAAAAATGACTAAATACCTCTATTTTCTTCAATGTTGTAAATGGAAATGCCAGATGAACTTGGAAGTTTTTGCCCTCATGTGATGGTACTACAAAGATACAAACATCTGATGTGCAAATCCTTTCCATGTTATTATACAACATCACGCACAAAAGTATCATGAAAAAGCGCATTTAAATAAGAGCTTGCTGAGGGGCATTGTAGAGTGAGGTTACACATGGCAGAGTAAGGCAAGGTAGCCGAAGACAGGGCATGACAGGGCTGGGTATGGAATATTGCAGAGTAGGGTAGGGCAGAGTAATGTAGGACAGGGTAGTGAAGGGTGGGGCTGAGAAGGGAACAGAAACGGGTACATATGAAAGGTATGGTAATTCAAAGTAACATAGGGTTGACATGACAGGGGAGCAGAAAGGGTGCATGCAACAACAGGACTGGACAGGAAAGCACTGAGTGCTTTGCCTTTTGACATGCAAAAAGTACTATTGCAATGACCAAGAAAAAAATACACATTCTTGCTATATCTAGTAGTCTTGACTTTTACCTTTCTTCAGAAGATAGATTGCATGATCTGTAAGAAGAACATGCACAAAATACAGCTGACTACTTAGATGACCACACAATAAAACCAGCATCTACAGTAAAACAAATAGCAAATGTTTGATTAAATGTGTTGACCTATTTCTCCTGATGTTGAAGGGGAATATTTATAATGTACATGTATGCTTAACTGTGAAGGAAGTGGTAGAGAGACCTGCAACAATAGAGTTACATTACATTAAGATACAGTTTTATACTTAGTGAATTATTTCACTTTCTAAGTTTCTGAAACCTGCTTCAGCACAATATAAGGTGCTGCTGAAAAAATAAATTAAGTAATTCTCACCCTGTGAAATTGTTCACCATTCTTCTCAAACACTTCCAGAGATAATGTAAGCTTTGTGTTCTGGTCCACACTGTACAGATTGGATTATTTTGATTAATGATGTGCTTCAGTGCTAACTTTAAAGTTTAACTGATGATCTAAATAGTAAATGCTTGTCAAAACACACATACAAAAAATAGGAGGAAAAGATGTTTTCCTGAATAAAAAATAACAGTTGAGAAAAAGTATAAAATATCAAGAAATTAGCCAAAAATTACTTTGGCACTCCTGGGCCATTACATCAAAATATAGAACAATTTAATAAGTTGGGGGAAGTTTGGCTTTGAGTGAATGAATATTGTGTTCCATTGACAAATGGGTAGAGATGCTTTTAACACAAAGTGAAGTCACAACAATTGCAAATGCATTTAAAGTATTCATGAGCTGAATGGACAGCACTAAAGTTAATTATGCTAACAAATATGCAATTTCATTTTTTCTTACCTGACATCACATGATGTTACTGGAAGCTGTCGTAGCAGGGGTCGTTTTGGAAGACCTAAAATAATGCCTAAACAGTCAAAAAACAGATCAAGTTTGAGAAACCTGAAAAAAAAAAACACTTGAAAATATCATTGGTCCAGTCCCATCCTGCAGCTCTCAATTGATCTTCATCTGGTGAGCCAAGCACATTATGTCTTGTCAATTGTGCAATGAAAGTCCTAAGCAACCTCAAGCAGGTGATCTTCAGTATTCAAATAATTTATGACAATACACAATCATTGAGGTTATTATTACTGAATGATGTTCAACATTAGCCTAGGATCACTTTAAGGTGAAAAACAAGCAAGCTGCAAGTGTTTATTCTGTCTTCTACCATGATGTCACATTCTTACATCTTCTAAATATGTTTGTGTAATGTTGGCTGGTGTAGTTTGCAATGTATAAATATTGCCACATAACACTGACCACATGCAAAATCAGCAACCCACCGTTAACTAAGATTGGATGCAGTGGTTTAGTCTTGTGCACCCTGGGATCAGCACTAATATTATGGCTACAATTCGCAAAATGAACTTTTTTTGCCACAGGATGTTGTGTTATTGAACTTTGCATAGTAAAACCCACATTCCTGTGTCACACACTCATGGTTTACTAGGACATAAAATATGGCTGTTAAAAGAATGTAGTTTCTTATTCAGTTTTAACAAAATGAGAGGGTGTCAAATTTAATTGGATTTTCAGCTTAGAACCCACTCAATGTCATGACATGTCGCTGTGAAAGTACATCAATTACATGCAAAGACATGCAAGTTAAAACAAGCAAAGATAGCACGATGAAGACATGTCTGACAGTGAGCATGAACATTCTTGTGGCACAGATGGGGTAGTCATAGGACAACTGCTTGTGGGACAACCAGTCCAGGCAGCTATTTGGTATGTCCCAAATTTTCATGTATTAGCTGCCCTGGGCAAGGTCTCATTCAAGCCCAAAGAGTACCTGAAGTGGATTCAGTGATTTAATATATTATTTTTGCAAGAGATCACAGCTTGAAAAGCAAAGAAGCAAGCACCAAGACAACATGACTATCTATACACAATGGCTGATCCAGCGGATGAGGTATTCATTTTGTCCAAACTCATCATGGAATAGGAAAAAAAAATGATGAGGAAGTGAAGGATAATTTGCAAATTACTTCACTGTAAAAAGAAATATCATCTTTGAACGAGTGAAATTCAATTCTAGAAACCATCAAGAATTAGTGGATAGTTTCATTACAGTCTTGTATGACTTTGCAAGGAACTGTAGTTTTGGAGTGCTAAAAGACAATTTATGGCCTTAATTCTTTTAGTTACCAAGTGGCCAAATCCTGGAATACACTTCCTGCATGTAGCAACCTCATGCAGTATCTCAAACTAAATCTTTCAGTTTTGCTCTGGTACAACACTTGAATCAAAGGCCCCAGCCTGAGCTGCCTCGTGTTTATTGCCAAGAAATCCATTGCCAAACCAAACAAGTGTAATGGAAATGTAATGCCAGATCAAGTAGACAGGATACATTTTTACTTGCTTTTTTATCTCCCTCGATATGGCCCGATTCGATTCAACCTTTATTGACAATTAATTTTTGTAATTTAATAATAATAATAATAATAAAGTTTTTTGGGCACATTTAAAAAACTCAATGCGCTTACATTACTATAAAAAATAAATTAGTTAAATCCTATAAAATATTTCTAATAACAGTAATAAATAAAATAAATGAAATNCCTATATGCAGACTGCATAGTTGACATCAAATTGTAAGCTTCAAGGTTTGTACGTTTGTGTTGCGACAACCTTTTCGATCACTTTGCTAAGGAATGGAATATTAGCAACAGGTCTGTAGTTCTTAAGAATCTCCTTGTCGAGGTTATCCTTTTTCAAATGTGGGCGCACGTGTGATAACTTCAGGAGTGAAGGAAACTCCTCCGTTGTCAGTGACTGATTGACTATGTTAGTTATCATAGGAGACAAAAGATCAACATAATTCTTTATAACAAAGGTGGGAAGTGGGTCGAGAGAACATGTTTTTGTGGAAAGAGACTGAATAGTGTTCTTAACGGTAGAGCAGGACAGGCGTCATCCTAAATTCATGAGCTAATTTATACTTGATTGCTTACTCTCGGAAAGTGTGCATTATATGACAGTTTTTAATCAGCTCACTGTGATCCCCAGATTTTTAGTTTTTTAGGACAGGACTTTGGTATTTACAACTCTATATCAAAAGGGTTTCTTAAAACAGTTTATCACACAGTTTCAATTCCAAGTTTTCAATTTCAGGAACATTAATGCAGCTCTGTATTTAAGCCAAATTTAAGCTTAAATCTGTTGTTTGTTGCTTTTTGTCATGGAATGAACACTGATATCAGAGGATTCAAGAAACCAGTCAGTGAGAATAAATTCCATGTAATTTGTGTATTGCTTCAAAGTTTAGACTATTGATGCTCTCATCATAGCCAGTGTACAGACTTCTCTCATGCTAAAAATAAAATGTAAAGTAAACAGAATGCAAGTGTTACAATTCTGGCAGCATTACAAATGCAATTTGATCTAGCCCGATGCCCTAATCTGACCCGTGGTGGTATATATAGAGTGAGATATTCATCATAGACCCAACAATTATTAGCTTTTGCGAGTTATACCTGTTTGCTTATTTGCAGAAAATGCACTTCAGAAGCTAGTTTTTAATCCAGTCATTGCCATCTTGAGATTTTTCTGTGTAACTGAAGCCCACCACTTTAACGTTTTAAGCCTGTCATTCGTTGTCAAATCTGATTTAAACGCAAGTGAGTTGAGTGAACAGAGGGCTCAGACACTAACAAAATAAAATGCTGAATACAGCCTGTTACAAATAGCTACAAGTCTTTAAGGTCTACACAATTCACTGGCCCTTTCTGACGAATGAAACATTTCTTACCCACACAAAATTCAACAGCTGAAAAATTCTATTCCTGTGGTATCCACAAAAAAATGTCATGTCTCCAATTTTGTGAAACTTGTGCATCGTTTGAACAAAAAGGTCATTTAAAGCAATGGCAAATATTCATTTTCTAATGTAAATCTCAAAATGGTTCTAATACATACCAAACACATTATTTTACTCTGTAAATAAAACATAAAAATAAAACAATTTCATCACAAATATTTAACACTTCTGTCAGAAATAGGCTACAGGGCTATGCTTGCCAGATTTTACGAAAACACGATAACAAGCTAGGCCGCATGGTTAATAAAGGATTTCAGATAACTTTTGGTTGACGGCAGAGGTATACACGTCGTGTGATCACAATTTTTATCACCACTATTACAAGTGTTACTTTATATTAGGTCTCTCCAAGATGTGCAGGATGCATTCTTTTCCTCACTTTCCATCTTGAATGGATTCTTAAGCTTTAAAACATGGTCACTTTGAGGAATAATAACTGAACATTGCAACCAAAATGATTTTATTATGTAGCAAGCTTGTTCCTCACTGCTTATTTGAAACAGTTTAAGACCAGTAATTGTTTTGAATAATTATTTTAAAGTATCTATTTTAAAGTATCTATTGATAGCTTATTGGGCTTATGCATGCATAACGCATAAGCCCACAATGAACACTGTAGTTGCCTGAATTTACCTTCATAACTAGGAGATGTATCCACATTTAATGATCCATGATCGGTGTTGTCGGTTGAAGTGGTCAGTACCAGGCTGTCATGAATTGAAAACCCTTGTTCTTTATTACTTTCAGAATCTCCTAAATCTGACCATCCTTTGTTATCACAAAGTTGAAGGGTAGCACCATTAAGGGATGTTTCACTTGTAAGATTAACACTAGATCCAAAGTCTTTACAGAACTGATCCAAAGAGTCTGTTGACTGTAGACTGCAAGTAGGGCTGCTGCAACCTGGGTAGCCATCCTGGGATTGGAATGATGATTGTTGAGATCTGGATAACTGCAGCAGCTCTAGAAAATACCATACAACAAACACTGCAAGACAAGCTTATCATCTCCTCTGTATTTTTCACTGAGCTTCACACTTACATGCACAGTACCATGATCACATTTGTGACCTCTCACATGAAAACTTACACTATGGCTATCCATTCGAACACCTAACAACTGTTCACTTGCCATTTACCATCCATTTGTCATCCGTTCATGATCGATTGGATGCCATTCAAACGGATTGGATCATCTGTTCAGGAAAATTTCTAGTCATTCGAACAGCGAACTGTTTGAATGGCTGAGGTTACCCGTTCGAAAAAATCGCCATCCGTTCGAATAAAATCTTCACCCATTTGAACAGCTAAGACTATCCATTTGAAAAAAATGGTCATCCGTTTGAAAAAATAGTTATCCGTTTGAATGGCTGAGGTTATCCATTTGGAAAACAAATGCGGCCGTTTGAACGGCTGATGTTATCCTTTTGAAAGAAACTGTGGTGGTTCGAACCGCTAATGTCACCCATTTGGGAAAATAGTATTCAGCTGGTTCGTATAGTGTGATCGTCCAGGTGAGGGTAGTTCTGAAAAGAACTGTTGTTGGTGACTGACGTTTCGACAACCTGAGCGGAAGTCATCTTCAGAGTCCAGTGAATAGTGTTTGTCAGTCGATGATCTTATAAGTCTGGTCCGTTGAATGTGATTGNCACAATCTGTCTGTCTGGCATACTAATTTGCATGTCCGTGGTTATTAAAATGACAGAATTCGATTTGCGAACTGTCAACGTCTGCAAGATGGAAACAACAATAGTTTCAAAAACAAGAACTTAAAGAAAATTTGTTTCATTAGGTGTAGGGTCATCATCGCTTGTATATAATATCAACAAATAAGCAAAGTTTTCCGGGGAAAAATCGACAATATGCAAATTAGTCAAATTTGAAGAAGATTACGGGAGGGGATTTTGATCCACGAAATGACAAAATATGTGGTTGAAGTATAGCCACTTATCTGAAAAAGTTATATTTTTCTCTTAGTCATAGTAAAAAAGCCAATAAATGCCTCCAACATGTCGCAAATCAAGAGGAAATTTTTCCCGGGAAAACTACAATTATGCAAATTAGGAAATTGCGTTAAAGTCGCGAGAAAGCTCAGGCTACAAGATTTTAACTTGCCAAATGAGCGTTTGCGTATTTGTAAAGACTTTAAGACAGACTAATAAAAACTAATTTTGATCTGGAAATACCCTGCCACACTTTAGAGAAAACCAGCTTTGAAAATTACCAAAATTCTTCTTACCTACAATAGCCTCTAAGTGATGATATTTGGAACCACTCCAAAGTAAGTTATTTTTAACCAAATTCGTTTATATTGGAGACAAGAGCTGTTTATAGGCTGGGAAGTATGTACAATTCGTATAAATGGATAAGGCTAATGCAAAAAACGTAAAATCATTCGTGGAAGTTTACCCAAATTTCCTGTCTCACATGGCCAAGATAGCACCAAAAACTAGGGGGTGGTCTAAATTCTATGAAATTTATTTTATTTTACTAAAAATACCACCGGTCGTTATCTTAGCTGATAGAGAAAAAATTCTGATAGTTTGGAAGGAATCGGCCGACCTCAATCCGTGGACCCTGCCTGGTCCTTACTGACAGTAACATTTAATTCAAGTTACCAAAAGTCTTTATCTTTACAACTTTGGAGATCGACATATTTTGCGCAGTGCAAGAAACAAGTCGCATGTTTGTAATGAGCTATGAGTCCAAAAATGTTTTCGTATTTAGCTCGTTTTATTGCAATATGATTTGTCTTACTGAAATATTCTAAATAATAACAGCAGTAGCCACACACCGTCATTGACTGCCTATTTTTTTGCCAGTGTTTCCTTAGATTGAACTAATACCGCAATCGGCTCATTTGTTATCTCACGAGAATGTTTCAAACGTGAACTTTGCTTACCTGGCTGGCTTTCATGCAATAAAATTCGTGGACTGACCCTTTCTGAAAACGATCGACATCTTTGTATGTGAGATGAACATATAAGGCGTGATTCTTGCCAAAACTTTCTTCACAAAACACAGCATTCTGTCACGAATAACGAGCAATGTCACATTTCTCGTCCCCAGTTTCCATGGTCTACGCACAGAACGCCTGGGACCATGACCCCCCTTTTGGCAACAAAACGCTTGCATTTTAAGACTCGGGCTTTCCTACGGAAGCCCGAGTAATAAATGACTGACTGAGGCAAGTGTCTTGGTGTATATGCCTGTTACAAGTTATGATCCTGATTGATATATTTCTTGGGTTTATACTGATGAAAATATTCAAGGGATAGCTTTTTCGTTACGATTGCCTACCTACAACTAAGAAATTAAACACCATTTTTTTACCTACCTGTAGTGTACATGTATAATTACCTTCGTATGATTTTTCCTTTTGCAACTCTTCAAAACTTCCATATTGCACTTCATCCATTGATCTTTCAAGTGAATGACCAGCAACACATACAAAAGGGTTAACTTCAAAATTGTCTTCTCCTTTATCACATTTTTCATGTTTCACTAAATTCTTCCTTCTTGTTTTTTGTCTCCTACTTTTGATTTTAACAGGGTCAACCTGAAAATTCTCATCTTCTGCAAACTGATCAGTTTGAAAATTTATGCTTAAGTGAAGCCTTGACTGTGCTTGTTGCTGTTCAACCCCAGTAACACCCTCTTCACAAACCTGGGTCTCATGTTTACCAATGTTATGAATTTCATTTGACCCCTTGGCCATGTTCATTGTTTGTAACACTTCTTGCTCACAATTAACCACATTTGTCTGCTGGTGCTGTTCATGAGATCCACTTGAGGCCTCATTGTTAGCTTCTGACAGCTGTGTGATTGAAGCATGGCTGTTAGGAGTCAGTGGTTCTGTTACTGAAGCATTACTGTTAGGGCTCAGTGATTCCGTTATCGAAGCATGACTAATAGGACCCAGTGGTTCTCTTGCATATAATGTGGATGAGGTTGATAAACTGTTGCTAGCTATGCTGTGGTTGGCATCTCTGTCATCACTCGAGGTGTTGTCAACTCCTTCTGCAGAATTGCTGGATGCAAATGTGGTCTGAGACTTATCATCATCAAAGACAGTATCTGTGGAGAAGACAAAATTAAGATAATTATGTCTTTTGTGCTTCACACCAGGAGTGGAATCTTCCCTTTATTATTGACATTAATTTCTAATAAATGCAGGAAACTGGTCTCCTTAGGAACAATTAGGGATCATTATTTTAATAGTATGACTGTGTGAACAGATCAGACTTGTTTGCAACTTCCATGGGCCAAAACGTTGTGTGGAAATTACTGTAAATCAACTCTTAAGCCAACCCCCCTCAAATAGGCACCCTTCTTTAACAAGTCCCCTCAGGTAGCCAGGTAGTTGTTAAGTCCTCCTCTCTTTTGACCCTATGCTTCCTCCTTTTCTATTACAACCAAAATAATAAATTATTGACTGTCTTATTTTTACCGTACCAAAAACAGAGCAGTTTTCACAAGAGTGTGACAAGAAATTCAATTCAAAGTTGGAAATGAAAATTTTTAACCCCCCTTCATTTTTTGTGTCGAGGTAGGTTGCCTGGGGGATAAACAAAAACAGCCATATTTGGATTGGAAGGTGTGTTGTTGCCATGGTAACCACAGTTGATCACGTCAGCCTGAGGTCTGTGTTTTGACCAAAAAAAATCACTTTCCAGAAGTAAAAATAAACAAGTCTGGTTCTAGGGTGCATGTGAACCAGTTCAAATGAAATTCATGCAGATGGTAGAGCCACTCTCCCAGTTTATAAAATTTGCCGTTAAAATATTTTGGGTCTTATAATCAAGAAGACAATGCTCTTCCTACTATGTTGCCTGTCAGCCATTTTGACAAGCAGGAGAGACAAGCACAACCATATTCGTAATTTCTCTGAAAGTACTCTTTCCCAAAAAACCAAACTAGCAGCAGAGCTTACATAAATATTGAAGTTTCTAAATATCATAAAATCTATTTGGGGAAAATTATATTCTGGCCATGGGTGTTGAAGACATCTGAAGCAAGTTGCAAAAAATTGCAAAATTGGAAATTTTGAGGGCTCTAGTATTTGGTTCAAACAGGCTTTAGATAGAGAATATCAGCTTCAGAAGTAATTTCTATCATCTAATCTGTTATCTACATTTGATTGATTAGGGTTGTGGCCAATGAATTTGATGAAATATAAATTGAAACAAAGCCTACAATGCAACTTTTGGGAATTGCTTCAGGATGCTTTTGTTGTATAGCATGGGTCTCTCCTCAGTTCGCTCGCTCCATTTTCTTGACCAAATCTTGCACAGACTCTAGTGGCAAGGTCAAATCTAATTGGCTAGCCTGACAGAACATCTACTTTTAGACCACAGATGATGCTGCATTAACCAGAATAAAGAACAGTCGAACAGGTCAAACACAGTCGTCTTGTGTCAAGTGTCGAAATAATTCATCAATACAGTCCATCCAGGAAGTTAAATAGATACATCAAGATCACAGCTAAGCAAATGCATGTCTGCAATGATTCTAAATTAAGTCTTGGGCTAAATTGAGCGGTGCTTATGTAGACCAGAAATGGAGCAAAACTGCTCACCGGATGTACTTTTAAAATGCGATATGCCCACTTTTTGTTTGTTTGTTTTTGTAGCTTCAGATAAAGCGACATTATCACAATAGCATTGTCTCTTCTTTAGATATTTTTGGTACTATGTATCATTGATAGAGCGATAAAAACTTTATCCGCTTTTAAGACTGTTTTATGGTGGTGAATAAAGAGGACAAAAGAAAAGCAGTTCACTGATCGTTTTACGGAACCTGATTGCCTCCATTGGCTTTACTACACTGGATCAAGTTTATATAAGAGAGGATACCATTTATCGTCTATTGGTTTAGCTACAGTAAATCCAGGAGTACTGACAGGTGTTAAAATATGTTCAGGTTTTCGTTAACAACAAATGATGTGCAGGCTTGACTGAGAACAAGGAAATTAGTTTTTCTAAGAACTCTTGGACGTTCGAACTCTGTCTGTCTAAACAGGTATGCAAAAAAAAGGAAATTCATGCTGTGGGTGGCAAAAATACAGATTGCACTTGTACCCATTACACGAAAAATAAAATTCAACGTGGGGCCCCGTGGTACGTATGAATTTGAGTAAGACTTTGCACCTAAACATTTCAACCCTGTTCCCAGTTAATTTCCCAGGGTACGAGATTGCTTGATGTTTAATTTTTCTTTGATGCTTTTATTCGGTTTTTCGGTTTTCGTTTTTTTTTGCTTTGGCTTTCTTCGCCATTGCCATTGTAAAACAACCCCATTACAAGAGGACGTTGTTACACTTACATCCGGTGTCACATCCCATTACATTGTGTTACATCTGGTCCGCAGTCATGCTTATCGGACTTCCGGCCATCGCGTTCAGTTTATTCCCCATTCTTGGTATATCGACTATCGCAATATCTGACTCGATTTTAGCCAAAGACGTTACTTTGGCTTGTTCAAAGGCATACATTTGCTTTTGTACATTGATCTCAACACGTTTACTTTACTTCCTGGTGGGATAATATTGATGAATTTAGGTGCTCGACGGCAGAAATCACAAGTATTACGACCATGTTTTGACCTTGTCAACTATTCTTGTTAAGCGTATGCAGGCTACTTGTTTCATCATCTCTGTTCTGAAACACGGCAAACCGGATATTCGATGGGAGTAACTGTTAGATCAGAGTCTGTGCTAGGTTTGGTCAAGAAAATGGAGCGAGTGAAGGAGAGACACTGGAGAGAACCATGCGACGAAAGCATCCTGAAGAAATTCTTAAAACCTTCAAGGTAGGTTTTGTATCAATTTATACCTCATCAAATTCATTAGCCAAAATGTTATTAACTAAATGTAGGTAACAGACAAAATGATAAAAGATACTTTTGAAGCTGATTTTCTCTCTCTAAAGCCTGTTTGAGCCAAATACTAGAGCCCTCAAAATTACCAATTTTGCAATTTTTTGCAATTTGCCCCGTGTGTCTTCAGCACCCATGGCCAGAATATAGTTTTCCCCAAATTGATTTTATGATATTTAGAAACATCAGTATCTGTGTAATCTCTGTGGCTAATTTGGTTTATGTGGAAAGAGTACTTTCGGAGAAATTACGAATATGGTTGTGCTTGTTTTTCCTGCTTGTATAAATGGCTGACAGGGAACATAGTAAGACGAGCATTTTCTTCTTGTTTATAAAACCCAAAATATTTTAACTGGAAGAGCAGCTCTACCATCTGTATGAATTTCATTTGAATTGGTTCACATGCACCCGAGAACGAGACTTGTTTACTTTTACTTTTTGAGGAACTTTTGCTCAAAACATGATCCTGAGGCTGACGTCATCTAGTGCAGTTACCATGGCAACGATACAACTGCCAATCCAAATATGGTTGTTTTTGTTTATCCCCCTAGGTAACCTACCTCCACACAAAAATTGAAGGAGTTTAAAATTTTTCATTTGCAACTTTGCTTCACTTTCCTGGAGAATTGCTCTTAAGACCCCTCAAATATTGATGTTCCATGTGCTTGTTTTTTAGACAGAGTAGTTCTGTTGAGGAAATGTTATGTTTTGTTGTGTTTATGGAATAAATCACTGGAAAACATGGTCCTTCCTGTACCTCGATAGATTACGATAAAGAGTAATGAAAATTGCTCCAAGATAAGAGTGAAAAGGAGAGCTGGGTCTCTGATTGTGGTTGTGAAGAATTTGTTCAAGCTGGATTTCGTGTTTTGGCAATTGGCACCATTGACATCGACCTTGAAGAACTTGCAGAAACTCTTGTAGACTTAAAGGAACATTGTGATTAAATTTCTACAAGGTTAGACAAGTTGTTGTTTGGAAATGTCAAAAGAACTAGAGGCTATTAAGAAGAAAAGATGGTTTTTGAGAAAATCCATAAGATACTTTGTAGTTTGTTGAGGAAGCACATTCGCTACAGGGTAATCATGCTAGAGTTCTGGTTTTAAACAATGATGTTGCCAGTAAGAAGAGCGATTTACAAGAAGTGCAGGTCACAATATGTACTATGTTAGAAGATGACGAAATTGACACAAAATGTTTGGGTCATAACAACTATCAGTTGCTCCATATTGAATGCATAGCTAAACCAGCAAATTATCTGGAAAGTAAAGATGTTCCTGAGATATGAATTATGTGAGTGAAACAGAGAGAAAACATTTATGCAACTACCAAAATTTGCAGTTGCAACAGGTTCCTTGTGCAGTTAAAAGAGGTAAACTTACATCTCTGATAAAAGGACAACGCTTTTTCTGTAACTGCTTTTTTTGTCATCAAACAACTGTCAATTATTGAGAAGGGTCATACGACAAGGAAACTTGCCAAACTCTGCATATTTTGTAGTATCTTATAAAATTTATACAGTCTTTTGGGTGTCTTTAAAATTGATATTAATTTCAAGTGGTTTCATGGAATATCAAAATCCAATGCATGTTCATGCATCAATCCTTTTTTGCCATTATCCAGTTACAGCTTGTAATTTCCAAAACCTTTACAATACAAGGTTTTTCACACTTTTCAAAATTATGCACCTGCAAGGACAGTCTTGTGCAATGACCTTTCAACCTATTTTGTAATCTTTAAATAGGTTCAAATCTTAAAAGATTAGCTAACAAATTATGGAAGAAGCTATCCAGATTATAAAGTAAAATCAATACTTTTCATGTGACTAATATAAGGAATACTTTGTTACTGTGATATTTGTGAATGACCTTAAATACCCTTCAATAAACACAATATTACTTTAAACATGACTGTTTTGAGTTAAAAATAATGAAAAATAATTACCCTGAAAATGCTGTGTTCCATAACCAAGATAAGGCCATCCCTAAACAGAGTAAGCATATAATACATTACTGCATTTCTTGTAATGGGAGTGTCCAATATTCATGGTTGCAGGTCACAGGTAAATTGTTGAGGGTGAAAAATGTCACAAAGAAAATGTAGGTTAATTGTAGCAGTGTAGAGTGCAGTTGAAAGGTGGTGTGTGAAGTACATTGTCGCAACAAAATTCACTTTATAGTAACATTTAGCGGCATGATTTTCAGTGGAAACTTCAAGGGGCAAACTGCTAGAAGTCAAGTGAAAAATAATAAAAATAAAAATTTCTATGGCACAAATTGGCATATGAATATGATCAAATGCACCTTACAAATTATGTAAATGAAATGACTAAGTCAACAATATTTTTTTACAATTCAATTCTAAAAAATAAAAAATAAAAATATCAAGAGCTATTCATTATAAGCACTCTAAATAAACATGTCTTCAATTTGGACCAAAAACATCCAAAATTTTCCTCATCCCTTAATGCACTTGGCAGTTTTCTCCAGAGTGATGGTACAGCAGCAGTAAAAGCTCTGTTGCCAAGTGTCTTCTTCATTTTCATGGATGGAGGTACATGTACTTAGCAAAAGTTCAGAATTAGATCCAAGACTGTACGTGGAAAAATTCCTGACCTGAATAAGATAGCAAATGTTGGCAGGTGCTTGGCCATGTATGGCCTTAAAAGTAATGAAATGATTATTAAAATCTTAAAGTCAATTCTGAGTTTAACTGGTAACCAATGTGAAGAGTATGACACAGGAGTTGCATGGCGAAAGAATAGAGTTTTAAAAACAAATCAGCCTAGCAGCTCCATTTTGTGCACGTTAGAGCATATTGATATGAGTGGTCAGTAAACCATAGAGAAGACTGTTGAGGAAAAGGTTGTTGTTATTCATCATGGTAGATGCAATAGTAAAGTGTATTATCGTTTCTCTCACGATGTAGTCACTTGAGATGTAGATCGCGACGTTTCGACTGCTTACTGCTAGTCTTCTTCAGGCGATAAGGTCGACTGATTGC